GCGAGGGAGGGAGGGAGGGAGGGAGGGAGGGAGGGAGGAAGGAAGGAAGGAAGGAAGGAAGGAAGGAAGGAAGGAAGGAAGGAAGGAAGGAAGGAAGGGGAGAAGAAAGGAAGCTATAGTGCCGTGGTTAGAATGCAATATTGCAGGCTAATTCTACTGACTGCCAGGAGTTTGATCTTAATGGGGCTCAAGGTTGACTCAGCCTTCCATCCTTCCGAGGTGGGCAAAATGAGGAGCCAGATTGTTGGGGGCAATGTGCTGACTCTGTAACCCGCTAAGAGAGGGCTGTAAAGCACTATAAAGCGGTATAGAAGTCTAAGTGCAGAGGTGGTATTCAGCCGGTTCAGACCAGTTCTAATGTACCAGTAGCGGAAATTTTGAGTAAAGTCCCACCTCTGGCTGGCCCTGCCCACCCACACCTGCCCTTTCCTGTCCTGTATTCCCTTGTTTTTTAGCTCAGCTGATTCACACGCCAGAGTGGATTGCCGCGCCTCAGCTGAGCTAAAAAAAAAACAGGTCACCTCACTAGCGTTGACACAGAGGGCACTTTTTGAGTGCTGTGTGCGCATGCGCGTGTGAAGTGCTTTCTCATAGAAACAGTAGGAAAAAATTTGGAATCCCACCACTGTCTAAGTGCTATTGCTATTAATAAATGTATAAGAAATGATGGCAGTGCCTATCTTGCTTAAATGTTTTCTGCATCAGACTCCTCTCATCCCAATAGGGCAGTCCAGCTAAACCTTTGTCAACTTTGTGCTTAGATTTGTGGACTCCAAATATCTAACTCAACCAACCAAAGACTAAAGAAGATTTCCCATTTTAAAAAAAAGGCCATCCACAGTCACCCTGATCAGCCATCCCATATCCCATATCCCATCTCCCAGATTCTATTCCCCTTGATTTACTATTTACGACCCCTCCTCCATCACACTATAAATCAGCAAGCATTCAATACTTTCTAGGCATGGTCAATTGTCACACATGGAGAAGTATCATTCCAAAAGATCCCAAAGGATCTACACACACACACACACACACACACACACACACACACACACACACACACCAGAGGGGAGAAAGGGGTAGGTAGGGTTGTGTGTGCCTGTGGTTACTTTACATCTGCATAAAATTAAGCAGTTGAGAACTGCATACATAACTGATGCAAGGGCTATGCACTGTTGCAAATCCAGAGAGAAAGGGGCACTTTGGGCTGTACACCAGCTTGAATGTGGCCCCTGCCTTCAACTCTTTGAAATAGCCATGCTTTTCCCCTGGCTGCCTTCTGCAAAATGCTGAGAAAAGACACACCCTATATTCGCACCTCCAAACAACCTTTTGCCCTGACAATCTGAAAAGAACAAATTAACGGTCCACATTCAGAACAGAAGCTTAAGCAAACTGACCTATAACTCACAGAAAAAGGCAGACATAGAGTAAGATGTTCAGAGGAAACCACTGACATTTATGTACATGTGGGTGAATTTATTAGTCAGAGTACAATGGGAGTAATTTTTTTTAAGGCTGCCTTTTTAAAAAACTTTTTTCTTCCTCTTATTTTTTTTTCTTGGCTCTTTCATTTTTGTTTTCTGTTTAAATGATCGTGTCCATTTATCCTTTCGATAATGATAGTCAGCATATTAATATTGTGTTCAGGGTTTTATAAAGTTCTCCATGGAGAGGTTTTTTTTAGATGATAGAATGAACTTTGTTCCACACCATCAGTTAATTAATGGAAATCATGAACTTTCAAATTTCATCACAATTGTAAACTTACTTTCTGTTTACTATTTTGTTTTGTTTATCCACTGTGTTTATGTTTCATTTTCTTCTTTTAGTAGCTATTTATTCTTTTTAATATTTCAGTAAATAAATCAAAAAAGGGGGGGGGGTGGCACTCTACCTAATGTTAAAATTAGACCACAATACCAATCTGTTTCCAATATGTCCTGCCATTAAAATTGAAACAAATGTGTACCATATCAGAGATATAACAAGATCCATGGACTAATTCCTTCTGGCCCTTAATATAATTGTGGGGAAATTCCAGGCTATCCATGGGAATATAGGAAGGATCCAAATTATCTAGAAATGAATCAAGGGGTAGCTGAAATGTCAACTGTAGGACAAGCCCTTTTACTGCTATTCAGTTCTGTCCCAGTTCCAAGCACAGTGCAAGATTTAACATTTAAGGACAGGAAAAAAAAAATCAGCAGTTTGTGGAAGACTTCTGAAGGAAAATTAACCAACTGCTGAGTTTGCGGCACAAATGAAGACGAACAGATTGTTGGAAAAGGCAAATATCTTCCCCTCCCTTTGAGGTACACAGAGATCTTGCTGCCCCCCCGCCCTTTTCAACTCCTCTTGAAATTGTTGTAATTCATATCGTGGTCAAAGTTATGTTGCAGATGGAACATAAAGTATGCAAATTTAATGGATGAAAATTGCAGAGTATAAAAAAAATGTTGTACATAAACACCACTATCAAATACATGGTAGACATTGCCATATCAGCAAAGCACCCAGACTCCGGGGCATGAAATGGATGATGATTGGGTAATTTCTATCTAATGGAGTTATACAGACACATTCTAAGTACCCCTCATATTGGCACAGGAATTGCATTTAAACTCTCCTGTAGGGCAAGGGGATCAGTAGAAATACGTTAGTAGAGAAGTTGATTAATTTATAGCATTCAATCAGTCGGATGCATAGATGCCCATTCCGGTCGTCCTTGACATATGACCACAATAGAGCCCAACATTTTTGTTGCTAAGTGAGACATTTGTTACATGAAATCTGCCCCATTTTATGACCGTTCCTGCCACAGTTGTTAAGTGAATCACTGCAGTGGTTAAATTAGTGACACGGTTGTTAAGTAAATCTGGCTTGACTTTGATTTGTCAGATGGAGATTCGCATGATCCCGGGACACTGCAACCATCATAAATACGAGTCAAGTTGCCAAGTGTCCGAATTTTGATTGTGTGGGGATGCTGTAACAGTTGTAAGTATGAAAAATGGCCATAACTCACTTTCTTTCAGTCTCGTCCTAACGCTGGTCACTAAACGAACTCTTGTAAGTCAAGGACTACCTGTAATAGGTGATTAACTCTATTATCAGAAAGGATGGTGAGATGGTTCTCTTGTTTAAAGCAGGGGTCTCTAACCTTGACAACTTTAAGCCTGGTGGACTTCAACTCCCAGAATTCCCCAGCCAGCAAGTTTGGAGACCCCTGCTTTAAAACAAAGCTTTGAGCCCCAGAAAATGGTAATTTCCCCTTTTTTTATAAACAGTCCCCTCCCACCTAAATTTAACAATGCAGTTATTTCAGAACAAAAGGAAGGACTTACTGGCATTACGGTGCAATTCCAAGAGGAAGCGCTCACAAAATCATTGACGCAGCTCTTCTGGTTTAGCATCTCCGAGGCGCTCAAGTTACTTTTGGTCCTT